ACTTACACATACATTTGTTGTTGAGAAATTTGCAGCCAATTTAAAATTTGTTTTAAGTAGTTATCAGGGATTTTAAAATTAAATCAGTTCAGTGCAGTTTTCTTTCTATGGTCTTATAATAACAGAATAAAACACATATTTAGTACAAACATGGCATTTGGACATAAAATATGTATGTATGCTGGTGTATATTTAAATTAAAAGCCTAAAGTGCTCAAATACTGCAACATAACGTTTATTAAAATGACATCATACAGTGCACGGCTTATAAATTCATACGATCACAACAGGTGACCCAATACTGTTCAGCTCATTTCCTTCAATCAGTCAATGTTTGAAAAATGTTTATAAAAATAGAAAGGCTACATAACTCGAAAGAATGGCAAGAGCACCACAGAATCATTGTATACATATACTATGTGCTTAATATACAAATATGTACATTCAATAAATAGGAAAAAGGGACAGTTTTGATGTACTTCTGGCTATTATGTGGAGCGGTCAACACTTTCAGGCTTGAAAAAAGACATTTGTTTTTCCTTCAAGTCAAGATCAAACCAAGTCTTAGCTGGCTCAAGTGTAAATGAAAGTAGTTTCTTGCCTCATTGCATTTAGGAAACCCAGATGAAAGAACTTCTGAGGTGCTTTAAAAGTCTGTGACAGGAAACAAATCAAAAGTGGTAGAACTGTTTGTTGATTTTGCTCGATTTACCGAAGCAAACTAAATCAAAGGCAGACAAAGCCTTTAAAGTGACCTGTGCCAGACACAATAACCCAAGAAAAGAAAGAAAGGTAGACATCTGAAGAGCTGTTTGTAAGTATATATAATGACAAATTACAAATATTTACAATAATCATTTCATCTTGATTCAGCAGAGAGAGAAAGAGGATTTGGTCCCATTTTGTTTTGTTAAAGCATTTCATTCAGACTGACTTATGACTGCAACAAAGACAAATCTGAAAGTTTTGCTTTCGGAACTGAGGCAAAGAGGATTAGCATAGTTAGAAAACCGCTTTGGTACAACTTAATTCACAGTACAACCAAACAAAGGCATTACTTTGTTGTTCAGTGGAATAATACTGATAAACTCAACGATCCATATAATTTCGAGTGGCTTTTTCTTTTCTCAAAAATGAAAGTCTCTTTGGTGGACAACTAGCAAACCCTGTTAGCTAAGTGCAAGTCACTTTTAGATAGGTTGGAACAGATTACTTGCATAAATATATTACATAGAGACATAATTATCATTATATGTATTAAACCATTTCAGAAAAGATTGTCTAGCCAGACCTGTGATCTTTCCAAAAATATATATTTTTTTGTTTTATAACTGCACAGCAGTAACATTTTCAAGATGCGGTTTCTTGCAGAATGTGCTCCTGGACTTGGGTTGGGTGAAGGTTGTTAGTCCGAATATATACGGGAAAGGTCAGATTCTACCATTCCAGTTTTCCCTGGCAGATTCTGTGCCAGATCCCAGCGGAGGTGGATTTTGACGTGGGTCTTTACTCGGTGTTCTGTTTGAATGAACTGCCGTGCATCTTCATCTTGTGCAATCTGCCAGTGTAAAGTGCAGAGGGTTTAGTCAAACAAAACGTACCACAACAAATAAAACAGGAACATATAAACTGAACAGGGAAGGTCACTTTTATGGATCAGTGTCAGTAGATTTGATGGAAATTTACCTCTGGTTTTTGCGGCTCGACTGGGCCTCTTTGTCTTTCACGAAGACGGCCGCCTCACCTCCACGGGAAAGGTAGGAAAATTCACTTTCTTTTGCACTAAAGATGATTCTAGATATAAAGACATCATTTAGAAATTTTGCTACCTTTTTAAATTTGCAATAAAATATGCATAAATTTGCAAAATATTATATATAGAAGAAATTTGTCTTTATCTCTCTGCTTACTTTGACTGTGTCTCTCCAGACTTGATGCGCAGTTTGCGAATGTGGAAGGTGTCGGAGTTCCACCAAGGCCAGCTGATGAGCGTGTCTTTCTCCCAGAGAAGTTTAACCATCAGCAGCTCTCCGATGTCTGCATCCGTGGTCAACAGGAAAGACACGGTGCTGTTTGTGTTCAAAGTAGGCCTGTGTAATGAAAATAATCTGAGTCAAAACTCTACAGCTATCTCGGCACAGGACAGAGTCCAATCTGATGTAAAATGTAGTATAAAACGCTTGCATGACCTAGATTTTTTTGCTAACTAAGGTCATAAAAAGTCTCTGAAACCTCTGGGAATTTTTTGGTAAACCTTGTAATATTGCATTTTTAGGGTTTGGGTAGTTAGTTTCTGATATATTTCCTGAAAAATCTATCTGAATATGATATTAACTTACATAATGTAGGGAATATTCTCCTTCTCGCCATGTATTCCATACAATGAGATCTTCATGGGCTGGTCAGTGTAGCTTAATTGTGTCTTTCCAAAGAAGTGGACCTTCACTTGATAATGGAAAACTGTGAAAATACAGCTATATTTAGATTTTTTTTAAAAACAAAAAACATTGACAAATGTTATTTAATTGATTAATCTCACCTTTATATGGCATCATCTCTCTGGTTTTCATGTACATCTTGCTGCTCCTGCGTGTGCGAATTTTGTTAACTGCGTATCCCACCTTGTTGCAGCGGTTCTTGCGGCAGCTGAGGCACATGCCCTTGTTAAAGCTGTCTCTGGAGCTGCAGCGAAAAGCCATGCTCTCATGGTCCTGGTTCACCAGAGAGTCAATGAAGAGGTGAATAGAGCGCTCGTGAGAACACTTCACGATCTGATCCATATCTGCAGAGAAAAGATAGAGGTTGCAGCTTATATTTGTGATATTCATATAAAAAGAACTTCTGAGGATGACAATGATAACTTACTTCTCAAACCAGTAGTGGCCACCATTAACATCGTGTTCTGGAGGTCACAGCCAGGTTGGAAGGTCCCACCATTGGGGTAGATGTCTATGTGTCCCACCGGCCTCTGAATCCCAATGCTACGATCTGGAGAACCACGGGTGTTGGTGTGAAGAACATCAACGAAATTGGCGTCGTCTGGAGAAAGAGTGCTTAGGGAATCTGCATACTCAAAGGTCGGGCCAGCAGGATCCATGCCTGAAGATTGAAGAAGTGAACTCACATTTAATGGGGCCTTTTTAGTTGTTTGAATGGTAAAATAGAAAGTTATAGGCCCTGATGTACAAACAAACTGCTGTGATGTAATATCTAGTATTAGGACAAAATTAAGTTCATTTCAGGAGTTCAAAACAGCCTGCCAGAGTGACCTTTGGAAGAAACAGCCTGTGATCTACCAGTGGTCCATTGAAATTACATAATAGGGAGGTGTAGCTCTGAATCTCTACCTCTACCTATGTTTTCCTAGTAGTTTTTCATAAAGCTTTCATCAGTTTGTTAGAGCAACAGAGTAAAGTATTGGAAACTTGGTTACCAACAGTAAACGTGGCAACTATATTCGAGACATGTTGGTGTAATGTTCGCTACATCAGATTTTAACAAATTAGCTTCCATCTACTACTCGCATGAATTTTATTTGGCACAAGTTCTAAACCACCTCAAGCAAATGTATAATTTTTTTTGCGAATTAAAGTATTTCAAAATGTGCTAATTCCATCACTCGTTTCTCATGCGAAACTTCAAAATGGACATTAACACGGGGTGATGGAAACCCAGCTATTGAAATAATCCTTAGTTAATTTCTTCTGGTTAGTCCATCAAGATCAGAGGCAGGGAAATGTTATTGGGATTTAAACAGATGCTATAAGTTGCGATCTTTAGCGTCTTTGTTCATCAGCCTCCTACACCAGTTTAAATCCTGAGCAAAATCATAGGGGCTACATGGAAACAAAAAACTTTTCTGCAAGTATATCAGGGCTTTAAGAGATCTAAATCAAGTTACCTGTGATTCTGTTAACTTTATGTTTGGTGAGAAGGCCAGCGATTCCTGCAACATGAGCGCCAAGACTGTAACCCAACAGATGCAGCTTCTCCCAAGGATAATCAATTTCAGCCTGGACGAGAAAACAAGACATGCAGGATAAAGTTTAAGGCATGAAACAAGCTCTATATCTTCAACAAATTTTCTCTTTATGATTGTAACCAAAATTTGGAAAACTCTGAGAGCTTGGCATACCTGTAACCAGTTGACAAATTTGGCCACGTCTTTGCCAACTAGTTTTGTGTAGGAGGCTGATGTTGGGTAATGTTGTTGCGCACGGGACAACCAGTCCACAACAATAACATTGGCTGAGGGCTCTCGTTCATAAAGAGCTGTTACCAGTTTGGGAACCCAGCTCTCAAACATTCCCGTGACCTGAGAAAAAAAAAACATCATTGCTTGGACTGCAGTGCACATTCAGTGCAGACAAAAAAAAAAAAAAGGCAGCACTTACCGTCCATCCATGAATAACTATAAAAGTCTTGGTTTCTGTATTGAAGTTACAGTCTTTGATGGATTGGGGTTGACCAGGAACTATGTAGCACAGGTCATCTTCAGGTTCTTCGAGGGTCCGAAAAGAAAACTTGGACTCGATGTCAGTGAAATCCATCATCCATTCTGTGGCATTGCCTATGATGTCACCTTCACAAAACCAGATCAACAATCAGTTTAACCTACTGGCCAGCAAACAGTAAGTGTTGATTATATTCAGCGCCTTTTCGCGTAAGCTGCTTATAAATTTTTAATTACTAGTTTTAAAGAAGCTTATCTTGCATGTGCTTATACTTTTGCTCTTTTTTTTTTCTAGACAAAGAATTATTCCCAAACGAAGGATTGGATCCATTCCCAGACTGATAATGTTCAAAGTTATTTTTCTGTAAAAGTTTCAGTGAGTCCATAACCGACCATTCTGACATGTCAAAAAGAATACAATTTATTAATGCTATTATTGCAGTAACTAACTAAATAAATAATTTTTATTTATACAATAACCATTGTTTAAATGAATAAACAATGGTATAAAAAATATATACATTTTTTAACATCAGTTTTGAGTCTTTTCCTACTACTTGACTGATAATATAAAAAAGTACAATGTCCACATATCTTAAGTATATCTAAAATCTACTTTTGACATAACATTTATTTTCTGTGTTGTTAAAAGCCTACAAATTCGATTAAAAACTGAAGATGTTTATAGTCATTTTTATGATCTAATTTGAAAAGTACAGTGTTCAAAAGGAGACCAACAACTATTAAAAAACATTTACATTTTAATAATAAAAATTCATGGAAATAAAACACAATTAAATAGAAAGTTTCTCTTAATGTTTATATAGCATTATTAGACTTTTATGACACTTTTATACAATAATATATTAATGTTTAAATTAAAAAAAATATATATATTTTGTTTTAAAGTTTTGTAAAATCTTTATATTTTTTGCACCAATATAATGTGCTGCTATATATTTTATATAATAAGTGTTTATATATTTATATGAGTTTATGATAGTGAAATTAAATGCAGTCAATGAAACATGAGCTGTGCATAATGCCTCGTGCGTTCATTCTGGGCGCTTTCCGTTATTTCTGTGCATTGTGATTAATTATGCGACTCTCTGAACCACATTTTCGCCATTAAGTTGAACTTTGGACACTTATTAAACTTTATAAACGCAAGTTTATTTAAACAAATAATCTTATACTTACTTAAAGTGATAGATTCAGCAGTTGGGTCAATTGTAGTTTCCATTCCCGAGGAAATGTAGACAAAGTACATCCAAGATATTAAAAAAGCGCTGCTTACTCTCCCCTTATTAAACATCATAATGATCACGGATTCAACAGCTTGTTAGGATTGAATGTAAAAGGCGTTGAGATCCGGGTATTTAAACAGTGTTACAGCAGGTTAATATTCCAGTTGGGAGGCAGCAGCTGCTTTAGATGTCTTGTGTCCAGAGTTCCTCAAAAGTTTAAATCGGTGCCGCTACAAGCGTGTCTTTATCCTACCGTGCGGGACCTTATGCAAATCAGCGGCATTTTATTGGTCAACAGAGGCGGGGTAAGGCGCGATCTGACCAATAAAAAGCCAGGAACCCCCACACTGACTCATCACTTACAATTACAAGTCTGAAAGTTTTGAGGCCCCTGAGAGTCTACAAGCAAATCGATTTCTCAAGGTCTTTCTTTTTGTTTTTTTTCTTTCTTTCTTTTTTTCTTTCTTTCTTTCTTTCTTTCTTTCTTTCTTTCTTATGATGTTTTTTATGCTAAAATGATATATGGATTTATGGTAAATTGTCATCGTATTTTTATATTATAAACTAATTATGATCAGTTAATTATAGTTTTAATCTTAAATGACATTTCATTAGGACTATGTAATGTTATCTTTTTATATGACTTAATAAACAATAAATAAATAAACAATTGAAACAAAGCATTGAAAAAGGCTTATAAAACTGTTTAAGTTTTAAAGAAATTGCAATTTTACATTTTAAATGTAAATGTTGTGATTATTTATAGGTCTAAAAGAGTAAAATGTGCTTCAAAAATAATAACTAAACAAAAAGCAGAAAACACTGACAAACTGAAGTACATTGAAAAAAAAAGGTAAATGTCATAAATGCTTAAGAAATGCCAAATAACACCCATTTGAGAATCTACAAGCAAATCGATTTCTTAAGGTCTTTCTTTTGTTTAATAATGTCATGATGTGTTTTTGTTTAAGATATTTATTGTTGAAAAACACATGAAGGATGTATGTTAAATTGTCAACTTTTATTTTTATATTATTATAAACTAGTTATTATCAATTAATTATGCAAATGTATCTTCTCTACATAGCCTACATAAATAAAGAATTAAAATAATGCCTTGAAAAAATCTGAAAAAATACATTACACGACTATGCTTAAAAGCAAATAACAATTTTACGAACAGAAATTGTCATGATTTAATTTATATATATATATATATATATATATATATATATATATATATATATATATATATATATATACATATATAATTATTTAAAGTCACAATATATATATTTATATATTAAGGTACATTTTGCAGATTTATTTAATGTCATTAAATAAACGTGATGTAAATTAATGTTATTCAAACTGTTTAAACATATAAAGAAATCGCAATTGTAACATTTTAAATTTAAATGTTGTGACTAATTAAGTCTAAAAGGTTAAAATGTGCTTTCAAATATAATAAAACAACTAAACAAAAAGCAGAAAACACTGACAAACTGAAGTACATTGAAAAAAAAAATTGTCATAAATGTTTAGTAAAAATGCCAAATAACAGCCCTTTATTAAACATCAAATTGTACAGATAATAGCATAAATAGTATTTTATTAAAACATTTATTATTACTCGCATGTACAACCAAAATGATTATTATTTTAATTTAATTTAATAATTTTATTATCCTACTTCATTTTATTACTATTTGAATGTAATTGTTTTTTAAATAATGAAGGTGTGTTATTAATATTTTTCAAAATGGTTTGGCCATGTGCAGTATGATATATTTAAACGTGAATTACATTTATTTATTTATTGATTTATATATATATATTAAAAAAAAGTTTTTGTATATTTTAGATCTGCTTGACGTCCATCATCTCCAGAAATGTTATTCTCAATCATCACAGTCTACTCAAGGTCATCACAACTGATAAAACCCCGCACACAGACTAAAATCATAGTTTGCTCAGTGCGTCCCAACAAAATAAAGTGTTACTTTAAATTTAAACATTGTACATTATGTTCACTCAAAGTGCTTCCTGTAGAACTAAAACACAGTTATTTGCCAACTTGATAACCAACAACATAATTTGTGCCAAACCCAGCCTGCTCTTGGCAGCAAATTAAAGAGAGTCACAAAATATCAGTGACTTCCATTGAGGGAGACGGTCAATGGGTGTGTTTGACCACCTGCCGTCTCATTGGCTGGAGAACAAATCCAAAGAAAATTCTGCAAATTCCTGCCTTTGAAAGAAAAGCACTCATTGGATGTAGAATTTAGACAATCTCACCTCTGAAATGTTGTATTGCAGCACTTCTCGCATTATCACACTGATTTCTTTATGATTGTCTTTATCTGTATTAAGAAGTACTCAGGAATTAGTGCTAAAAATAAAAGCACACACACGTGCCTTTTCATAAACAAACACTTACGTTTGCATGTCTCAGTGCATATAAACATTTACACTATTTGATTACTCGTGTTTAATCATTGATGCCTGGAAATACACAAGGCAGTTTGCTCACAGAGATATGAAATTGAATGTGATCGCTCTGGCACTGCGGTTTATGCAGAACACATGTGTAAAAGTGTCGCTGAAGTGATCCGATAAATGATACAAGAGCTGAAAAATGCAACACCGCCATCTTGTCAATGCGAAAAAGTCATTTCAGTCAGTGTTTGGAGTCTGAAGTATACTTCAGTTTATATGTGTATGCATATAGTGTGCATAACACAAATTTGGACATCATCACAATACATGCAAGACCTGAAGTACACTTCATACTAGCTGAAAGCACAAACATGAACTACACCAACATTTGATGCATTACAAAAATGTTAAGTATATAAATATATGTATGACTTTTTTTTACTACTAATTTAGCGTAAGCACAGTAAAATACATTGTATGTGTAAGGGATAATCAACAGATTGCCATGAATCACTTAATTGCACGACGCAGAGTTGGGTGGTTGCCTCCGCAAAGTGCATTTAAATACCTTTAATGCAACAACGAAACAGAGTTTTGATCAACTACTCTTCATATTAGATACTCAATTCAGTTCATGTTTACTTCTATAGCAATTTTACAATGTAGTTTGTGTCAAAGCAGCTTAACATAGAGGTTCTAGCAAATATTACCATTATGTGTGTGCGTGTGGGCATATCTAATAGCTCATAGTAAGACACGTTAGCTACCTCTTCACAAATCCTTTTGAGCATATTTGCAAGTTAATCTATATTGAATCGAAACAGACTGAATCTACCTGTGCATTAAACGATTTTATTGCACACCTGCTATCCAGTCAAAATCAAGAATTTCAACAGAAGCTCAATTTTCACAATAATAATAATAATAGTAAAAATTCTATTGTCTCTATCTAAATGTTCTGATACTTTGTACATATTTAAAATAGGGGAAGGGAAACAGTCAACAATAATTGTAATTTTAAGCAGTGTCTTCTTCTGTTTTTGTCTTCACAATTTTTGTTTTCAGTTGTACATATTAACTAAATATTTTAGTAAATTTAATCGATGTATAAACTAAGTAATATAAGAACAATTTCTCCTCTGAATGTATAAGTTATCACTTTCCCCGAGGTACTAACCATAGGAGTGTTGTAATAGTTCCTCTAAAGGCTGATTTATACTTCTGCATTGAGTGATCGGCGTGATCCATGGCACCTGTGCATAGTCGTGCATTTATACATCTGTGCCATGTTTGTGTTGCACTGATATAACACTTCTTAAGCGCTAGCTGATAGTAGATTTTTATGTTCCTCTGTATCAAGTTTCTTTGTGGTTGTTTTGTTTTTTTTGAATGCTATCTTGATATCGCTAAAACGCACTCTATCAGGGGCAGAAGCCAGCGGACATGCAACAACTTTAATCAAAAGGAAAACACGAAACAAAAGTTTCCATCTGCAGTTCCTTCACGGGACTCGACACTTAGGCCGTACTCACACTAGGTACAGTTGCCTCGAACCGGGCCAAAGCACGCTTGTCCCCCCTCCCGTCTCCCCTGACGGCCCGCGCTCACACCACAAACGGGCATCGGCACGCTTACGTTATCGCTGCTGGGGTGTTCAGTGAGAAGCGCTCTCTCACTTAGCAGCACAGTGGAGATTTCTCTAGTTATATCGTTTCAGTCGTTTGATATGCCGTCAAATATTTCACCAAACAGTCCTTAGGGATGCGGTGACACGCAGTCAGATATTTCGCCGTACAGATCCACCACTTTTGGCGCTCATAAACAATCATAAAACTCTCGTGCTGCAGGAATGAGGAGGTCTGCTGAAGTGAGGAGTTTGCGTCTTTAATAAACGACGGCAGTTTGCGTTCACTGAACAGTAATGATTAATAATTCTATATGAAACAGTCCCTTAAAAGTCACGTCTCGCTTTCAGTTTCGGGCTTTGGCGCGTTTTGCACTCACACACAAGCGTACCGCGCCAAAGCCCAAGAGAACCGCGCTCAGGCACACCTCTTTTAACCGGGCCAGGGCCGGCCAAGTGAACCGTGCTTGAGCCCGATTCAGCGCACTCACACTTCTCAAACGATCCGGGAAACGGGCCTGGGCATGGTACGGATGGCATAGTGTGAGTAAGCCCTTATAGACAATAGCACCATTGGGCTCGTGGCTCTCACACTCATCAGTGCTACCAAGCTGACCAATCACAGAGCTTGTGCTAAGCGTCGTCAGCGTCAGCCACGATGCGAAGGCTGCGCCAGAGCATACGATTGCGGTTGATGCGGAAGTATCAAGTATATAACACGAGTGAGACAATAAATTCTGCTCTTGTTGTACAACAAACTACAGATGACCACAAAAGCAAACAGATGCTTGCCATGACAAAAACAAAATCAAACAAAACTGCGCTTTAAAAGAGGACAAAGACATTTTATATCTCGCTTAATAAAAGAAACTGAACAAACATGACATTTTCGAGCGATTGTTGAAATACCAATGCAATCTTATGGCAAATTGTAACTCTTTGATTTAATGGTCAGTTTGTATGAATTCGTAAGATGTAATTTGTACAGTTTAATACAATTTCCTCATCCGCCAATGATGGTTGGGTTTAGGTGTGGTGTTGGGTGTCACGGCTCCTTTTTTTAAAATTGTACGACTGAACTTGTATAAATTTGTACGAATTCGCCACTAAACTGACAAAACGTTTAATACTTGCGTTTT